CTGCATACGGAGTATATATCTCCCAGTTGATACGATATTCCAGGGCCTATATTTCCTATATTGATTTCCTTGATAGGGGGTTGCTGCTCACAAAGAAGCTATTAAACCAATAGTTCCTAGTTGTGAAGTTGAAGTCATCGCTTCGTAAATTTTTCGGGCGCCATCACGAGTTGGTTGACCGCGATGGAATCTCCGTTTCACAAATTATAGCGTATATGTTCCAAATGGCGTTACTACAATCCCGTCCCCTTTTCCACGAATATGACCTCCCGAATTATAATTACTACCGGTTTTGTACTAACATGAGCAACACGATGGGTGCCACATGTGGAACAGGATCTGCTAACCCTTCCGGAGCACCTGAGATCACCTCAAGTTTTTGGTAAGGTTCGTGTTGCTCAGCCTTTAGTTTTTTATGTTTGATTTTGTGTACTATTGTTTGTATGTTGGTCTTTTTCTTTTTTAGCCATGGCGTTGTCAGTTTGTTTTCGACTGATGAGTTTGAATGTCCCTTTGATATATTTCGACTTCTCTCACACGCTGCACTTCGAATAAACTTAATGCACAATGCTTTTCAACTTCAATTTGATTTTGCCTTCCACGTTTTATTAATCGCGCGTAACTGGCTGATATAGACAAAACCCGTCTGTCTTATCAACTAATAAACCTGGTGTCTTTCGTGAAATCGTATAAACACTTGCTCGATGCCACTGTTGGTAAACGTTTTGTCTGCGAGCGTATTACCAGCCCAGTAGTCTGCACTTCTGTGTTGAATTTAAATATCATAGAAGTTATATTTTGGCATAGCGCAATGTTATGCTTTTACTGGAATGTATATTTTGGCACTCCATATTGTTGTGCCTTCACTCTTACTCCGTTTGAGGTGTACTGATTGATAATTTAGCCTTAAAGAACATGATCTGTTTATTAGATGTAATTAATTGAGCTTTGAACTAGCTTGTAGTACTCATAGATGAGTCAAGCCCTTTTCAACTGATTTTAATGGTCTTTTATGCGACTGTCATACTAGTGAGAGATTTCGCTAGCAAAAAAACCAGGTTTAATCCACAATTATCTACATAAGAAAATGCCTGTACCAAGTCAGGAATATGACAGTTGTTATCCATTCGTTTGATGTGTTTGAGCTTTTGATTTCGCCATTTGCTTAGGGACATTCCGTTTAGAATTTTCCTCGAAGTTCGGTATTTTTATCATTTTACTTTTTATATTGTTGTACTCTAATAGAACTGTTCATGGTTAGGAGAGGGTTTTGCTAGCTAACATGTTTAATCCCACCATATTCTTTATATGGCTGTTCAAAGTAGGGAGCCTTATTTGAGAGATGGTTGTTGGATGCTGTCTGTCTTTCTTTTATTGCTTTATAGATTTTTTTCTTTTGAAGTAATGGGTTTCACATTTTGTCATGCCGGTAACTTTTTAATTGCTTACTGTACGGTATGGTTTTTGTTCATTGTCGAAGATCATACGGAGACCGTTGAAGTTGAACTTGTCGTTAGGTCTTTGGTTGATAGTTGTCTCATTGTCAATTGTTTTTATATTTAGCTTCTCTGTGAACATATTTGTGTCAGATGTTTAACCCTCACAGAATAGAATAATATTTTATTTTTGTCAGCAGCTTGAAAGTGAGATGTTTTATTGTGTAATGACTATGAAAATCTTTCAGACATCTACTGTATGTTTTCGGAAACTCACTGTGACACACTTTATCTAATTTGTAAAAAAAAGTAATATGCATAGGTGTTTTTAGAGTAAGTCTCAAAAGTGTTCATATAATAAAACTAATAATGCCGATTTGAAAATTTACTACAATTCTTAAGAATGGGGCAAATTAGAGTTCAATAGCGGCCGTGTTTGGTGGAACTTTTCACTTATAATTTCAAATCAAAAACCTCAATTCATATAAAAATTAGAAGACGAGACATGATTGCCAATAACTTATGTCTTTTTATTCTAAAGTGAAGATAATACAAATCTTAAAACAGGTAGTTTAGAATCCATAACGTCATTTTAATAAGTTTTGATGTTTTTAAAGCATTTTCATTAAAAAATTACCAAGATTGTAATCGATCTTACTTTATTTGTTTAACAAATGAATCGAGCATGTAAGAAAAAACCGGATAATTTAACGCACTGTTCGTCAGTTTGAAAAACTACTTTTTCGAAACATTAGGGTTCGTTTATTTGATTCTTGGTTTATATTGTCCAATCACAAATACATATATATGTCACAATTAAGCATCTACGTCATATATTTTAGCAAAATGCTTGACATACTTCGTCTTCCAAATCTTGATGAATATCTTTAATATATGATAGACCATACAGTTTTAACTTAAGACATGCCTATCACTAATTATTAGGCTAATATCGCGTGGTTTTGTTACATTTCATTTTTGAAGGTCTAATTAGACCATTTTCTCTTTTTTTAAATGTAGCTATGGTATCGAGTCATCATAAATATTCATTTCGCCTACATAAAAGTGATAATTGGCTAACATTAAGCTTTATCACTTATACTGTTTCATCATAGCATAAGGCATCTGTGTTAAAGGAAGCAGATATCTAATACTGAAAGAACATTCAACTAAAATATGGTATTTTTTTCAAGTAATAATAAGTTGTATTCTTTCAAGTTTTACATCTATCAGTTAGTTCATCAATTATAACTATTTGTGTAATTTCTAAGTGAATAAACATACTTTTTATTTACAGTTCTAGAAAAAAAGCGAAGACATTGGTTTTGTACAGTTAATTATTTTCGATGCTTTATCCTTTAAATCATTACTTGTCATAAGTTTTCATTAATGTGAGATTTAAAATTTTTTTAGAGCCAACTAATATAAACCATGCATAACGAGACAACTGAAAGACGATTTAAAGAAACGATATTAGCAGCATACTGATTTCTGCACTTTATTTCTTTAAAAATTTACACTTATGACAACCTAGTATTTTAAAAACCAATAGCTTATTAAAACGTTTCTAATTTAACATTTCTCCGATTGACCATTCGGATTCAAGCAGTTTAGCTAAACACAACCGTTCTTTTTATTCGAGCGTCACTGGTGAGTCTTTTGTAGACGAAACGTGCGTCGGACGTACACAATTTCAGACTGAAATCTTTGATGAGATTTATTATATATATTTATATCTGCCTTCTATATTAACTTGCATCTAGAAAGTTTTAATAAGGGTAGGATAAGAAAAGATAGTGAAGGGATATGTCACAACCGAACAGACAATAGCTTTTTTTTTGGCTTAATAGCTTCCTTGAAAGCAGCAACCCTCTATCAAAAAAGATCATAATAGAAAATTCAAGCTTTGGAATATCGTATCAACAGAAAGATGTATACGTCATATGCAGGCACTGTATAAATGTTGCTATATACAGATGGAAAGTTCACAATTTTTAGTAACGTTTTATTCACAGATATAGGAGAATGATACCATAGGGTCATTCAAACTCATAAGGCGAAAATTAACTGACAACGCAGTGGCAAAGAAAGAAAAGGTTTAATTGACAAACAACAGTATACATAACACAAAATAGGAAACTAAAGACTGAGCAACACTAATCCTCTTAAAACCGGGAGTGATATCTGGTGCTGTGGAATGGGAAGCATATCCTGCACCACATGTGGCACCCGTCGTGGTTAATGAATGTACAAACCCAGTAATAAGTCTAATTCAGTAGGCAAAATTCGGGGGAAATGAAGACGGGATTCTGTTAACGACGATTGGAACCTATCCGTCGTCATTTGTGAAACAGATATTCTATAACGGTCAACCAACTCGTGATGGCGTCCATAAAATTTTCTAAGGGATGATTTCAACTTCACTACTTAGCACCCTCTGTTTAATAGAGTTCTTGAAAGCAGCAACTCTTAATCTAAGAAATCTAGTTTGAATGATATTTAACTTGGTTGATAAATTATGCTTCCAACTTGTTTATTTTAAGGCCATCGGTTTGTCTTTTGTATACAAAACTTGCGTCAGGCGGAATAGATTTATCAGCTGTCTTTTAACATTGACAGAAATTATAACGTCTATTTATTAAGAATGATGATATGATGTTTATTAATATACAAAATGAAAACAACACTATATAAATTTAATGCGCCTTAACCCTTTTCTGGAGTCATCGTCATCAGAAACGTTCATATGATTATTATTTTGAAATAATGCGTCGTTAATTTTGAAAGGAACTCTTTACTTTTCAAATTAAGTGATGCTATCTTTAGGAGAGTAAATAAACAGTACAAGTGTATGTTCAAATATCACTTCGAGTAAATTAAACATTTTAAAAACATTTCAAAAATAAATTGAATACAGTTTAAAATGTAATACTGATCAATTTGCATATTATTAAGAACACACAAGTATATAAGTGTATAATGGAGAAACGCAAAATATGAACAAAAACCTCAAAACATGCCTGTTCTAAATCAGAAATACGGCAGTTGTTTTCCATTCGTTTTAATGTGTTTGACCTTTTGATTTAGCCATTGGATAAGGGACTTTCCGATTTGCTTTCCTTAGAGTTCGGTGTTTTTGTTATTTTACTTTCTACTTATGCTTTGTAAACTAACATGTTTTCTGATACTTAGTACTACCTAAACACTAGTTTACACTTGCCTTGAAGGCTCCCTTAATTCTGATACTTTCTATGCACTTGTCTGCACATGCATTGTAGGCTCCCTTAATATCTGATACTCCCTTAAACAGGCCAATTATAGTTTGAATCCTTTTTTGTCTTAAACCTTTAATACGTTCAGCTTTACCAAGATGCCTTGTGAATTTTGACTGGTTCTAATCATATGTGTACATTTATATAATGATATGCATGACAACTTCATATTTTTTCATGTCTATCTGAGTTATTTTCTTTATCCATTCATCTGTATTCTTTTCAGTCATACTTTTAAATAATTTGATAAATTTTCTAGTTTTTTAAGTAGTTAATATGCAAAGAAGCGAAACCGTACTAACTAAACGCTATGATAAGATGACGAAAACACTCAAGTATAACCAATTGCTTTAAATTAAGTTTAAATTTTAAAGTTTCATTCGTCAGTTGTTAGTGATCAAGCATCTTGCAGACTGGACTGCCATTATCAAGGTAATTTTTTCATTATGTTGTACAACGAGATGCAATTTTCTTATTTCATGTACTTAAATGCTTAATATCATAAATATCTGCCAGTAGTCTGCATAATACCAAAAAACTTAAAGACGTAAAGCATATTTATTACTGCGAATTAAACCCCTACGTCACTCAAAGGACGCGTGTTGGTTGATTTATTGAAATTGTACTAAAACATTGGCACGTTTCATTTCATTGACAGAAGACATTCCAGTTGTTCCGATATGACATGATTGAACATGTGACAAAAATATATTGAAATGCTGGATTATAGCAAATAACCATGCATTTGTTGATGTTCTTCATCTAAACAGTGGTGATGCTAGTGAAAAATATAAAACAACCAACGAAGTCGTATGCAAACTCTGTTACCTACTGGCCGATAAAAGACATATGCATGTGTTGCTGTTCTTCATCGTCACAGTTCTGTGAGGTGTTTGATCCACTTGATGATTAACAAGATTGAGAAGTTAATTAGCGCCACATGGTATCATTCCTGTCTGTATAAGGTACATATGGTGTTTCCAAAATGTATATAAAAATCCTCCCATGAAAGCATTGTCATGTGTTGTCCGACAAATACAAAATTATACAATCAACGTGTTAGAACAGGAGTTATATGATATATAGAAACATTTTAATCCCTTACTTCGTAGTTATCGTTGCTGTTTCTGTTGTTGTTTTTCCATTATATTATGCAAAAAAAATCTTAAGTCGTATACCATAAAGATAACTGATGTATATATCATGTACATGACTGTGTCTATATTAAAGACAGATACACATACGTAGGCACGGGATGTATAAATACACGACAACGGGGCGTTGACTTTGAAATCCCAAATGCAATTTTTCCTCAATCCACGAAAATTAGAACCAACAAAAATAAATGAATCCACAGTATATAGAACTGAGAGGGTTTTTTTATTTGCAATTCTATATCGTTATTACTAACATTTTGTTAATTGCATTATGTTGATTTCTTCCTCTGTGGGTTAAGATTGTGTTTTTCATTTCATTTTTATTAAGTTTTATGACTCTCAAGACATAAGTTCATGTGGCATTCGTTTGGCTGTCTTGGATGTATAAATACGCAGCCACATTTGATCAAAATGTGGAAGTTAAATCCTGTACTGTGAAAGGGGAATGCAACGCTCTTTTCCCGTTGCAAAAAACTATTTAAGTAATCCTTAAATATCCAGTTGCATGGCAAAAGTTTTGTCTATACAACATACACCTATTTTCAAGAGGCAGTCACAATTTGTCGACTTTCGCAGTGGTCGACTCGCTTTGCCGAATCTACCTATTATTGAAATAATTGTTAATTTGTTTTAGTCCTTATTATGCATGAAACAATGTTACTGGACGTTAAGCAAACCATTATCAATCAGTTTTTACTCACTTATGATGTGTACTGTAACTCCTCGTCTAAAATTGAACCCAATGATATTATATACGAATATTTGAAACAGCTTTTATTCTTCCCTCAGCGGGAGCAACATTTGCTACCAGAAATTGACATCTAACATTGTTGGGTTAAATTTAAGACGAAGTATATGTAATTTGTGGTATTATTCTTGAATAACAAAGATTATTTGATGGAGATATCTGTCGCGGAGTTGTTACATATCTAGAATATAATACACGTTTATCTGTGTGTGTATCATTTCAGATTATAAAGATGGACATCAGTCTTTTGCTCATCTTAACTTGTTTCACTGCAGTAATTGGAGATGACATTGGATTTTTAAGTTGTGGGAATTATACAATGCAACCAGTAAAATATGAAGATTGGTATGTACGGGTTGGTAGTGACGAAAAAGGAACCGTTAAAGGTTATGATTTCTGGTTTCTTATTTTTAAAGATGCTAGATTAAACTTTGAGAGAATAGAGGACGATGAACCATATTTCTTCATAACTACGGAACGATGGAACGATTGGTTTATTTATATGACCGACACTTCGAATGGTCAAGTAGAGTCGATGAATCAAAAACCTGGTCCTGAAGGTCAATGGATGGTCCAACGAGTACAAAATGGCAAATACACTCTGTCACCAAGGAAATGGCCCCAAAAATACATGTGTATGAGTGATGATACATTTGATTACACCGTGTTTGCCTGTGATGAAGTTGGAACTGATGGAATTTTTGTCATTAAAAAGGGATAGTTTTTAATATCAGCAGCAATTATTATTTTCATAACATCGAGAACATTGCATAAGCCAGAAAACGTTTTGTCATGCAATAGCTGATGAAATATTTGTACATATTTTGCGGTCATTGTTCGTCTTTTGATTTTAATCGTTCTGAATTCGACGTTTGGTATTTGTGCTTATCAAACTTTCTATATATTTTGGCTTTGGAACACCTATTAGGGTTTGAACAGAAAGTATTTTTCCAGAAATCTCTAATCGAAAGCCGAACATAAAAAGACAAAACATTGAGATCAAGATTAACAAAATTGGGAAAACTGAGATTATCAAAGGGAACATGCAGTTATTGCCGTTATTTGACATTTATCAGTAGTTGAACAGTCGTTAACCAAATGTTCACATACGGATATGATAGAAATCAAGCCATAACACAGCACCGTTTTGTCATTCTGAACAACGCTTTAGATGTGCCAGATTGTCTTTAATTGTATATTTTCTGTTCCTTTATTACTGCTTTGTTATATAAATATTGTCTTGCTTATATGATCTGGTGTGTATGCGTTCAATCATTTTACATTATTAGCTTTCCAAATTTTTGGTTATTAGAGTGCAAGATAAAAAAAAAGCGCTTATGTGCGCTGACGTCATATCACAAGTTTTAGACTCGATTTTTAGTGACGATTTGTGGAATCAAAATAAAAATAAGGAGATTTCGTTTGATTGCCAATGAGACAACTATCCACCAAAGTTCAAATGAAGTGGATGTAAGCAATTATAGGCAAGCGTACAACCTTCAACAATAAGAAAAATCCATACCGTATGGTCGGCTATGAAAGGCCTCGACATGAAATATGAAACATTTCAATTGGAAAACTAACGGCCTAATTTATAACAAAACAATCTACGAAAAACAAATATGACCGACATGAACCAACGACAACCACTGAACTACAGGCTCCTGACTTGGCACAGGCACATGAAGAATGTGGCGGGGTTAATATAAAAAAGAAGATGTGGTATGATAGCCTATGGGACAACTCTCAACAAGGACAAAATGACACAGAAATTAACAAGTATAGGTCACCGTACGGCCTTCAACAATAAACAAAGCCCATACCGCATGGTCAGCTATAAAAGGCCCACAAATGACAAATGTAAAACAATTTAAACGAGAAAACTAACGGCCTAATTTATGTACAAAATAATGAACGAAAAACAAATATGTAACACAGCAACAAACGAACTTGGGACAGGCACATAAAGAATGTGGCGGGGTTAACCATGTTAGCGGGCGCCCAACCCTCCCCCTAACCTGGGACCTTGGTGTAACAGTACAACATAAGAACAAACTATAAAATTCAATTATAGATATAAGAAGATGTGGTATGAGTGCCAATAAGACAACTCTCCATCAAAGTCAAAATTTATAAAAGTAAACCAATATAGGTCAAAGTACGGTCTTCAACACGGAGCCTTGAATCACACCGAACAGCAAGCTATAAAGGGCCCCAAAAATTACTAGTATAAAATCATTCAAACGGGAAAACCAACGGTCTAATCTATATAAAAAACGAGAAACGACACCTAGTGAACATCAGATTCCTGACTTTGGACAGGTGCAAACAATTGCAGCGGGTTTAAACGTTTTAATGGTACCAAACCATGTTTGTATACATTTTGTTGAGCGCACAACAGTTATGATATCTTAATTTACTCTTTTCTCTGATAAATGTTGAACTAAATTATCCTACTGCAAATATTACACCATGTAAGAGCACATTCAATTGCTTAGTTAGTGTGTTCTGACTACATGTATGTACGTAACCGTGCAACTCCTAATATACGTTGCAAAATTACTTTAAAATACACAGTTTTTTTAACTTGCTTTTTTACGTCATTTGATAAAGCTCATATTGTGATATGTTGATAATCATCTTTCCTTCTGTGTCCTTTTCGTGATTTTTTATTTCATAAAGCATTGCACATATGGGACAAATATGAACGTTGTGCCGGAGAGACTGACAATTGAATTACTTCCTCGAAGGTCTTGTAAAAATTAGAAATATCACAAACTGAATCAAAATTATAAACATATTTCTTCCGTTTTCTATTTGTCTTTGGTGGATAGTTTCATCCCTTGCAATAATTTTACATTTCGTACTATACAACAGTAGAATAAAGAAGTATACAGAAAGACAACAGAAGGAACTCGATGTATACTGATATATATGAATAAGGTAAAGACAACAGAAGGAACTTGATGTATACCGATTTATATGAATAAGGTAAAGACAACAGAAGGAACTTGATGTATACCGATTTATATGAATAAGGTAAAGACAACAGAAGGAACTTGATGTATACCGATTTATATGAATAAGGTAAAGACAACAGAAGGAACTTGATGTATACCGATTTATATGAATAAGGTAAAGACAACAGAAGGAACTCGATGTATACTGATATATATGAATAAGGTAAAGACAACAGAAGGAACTCGATGTATACCAATATTAATTTAAAACGGTTTTCTCAGGTAAAGTTCAAGAATTCTAGAACAACAAGTCCAAACATTAACAAAAAAGATATGAATATTTCATGGGGTTGACAGCTGTGTTACTGCTCATTTCATTTCAAAGTTTACTGCAGTGCCTCGTCAAAAATGTGGACAGACAAACCGGTGAATATATGACTATTTTTATACAATTTTTTTCAATCGATCATGTGAATGACTAAAGGTACATACAAAACGCACTCAAAAATTGATTAAAGATAACAAGAAGTACAACCAAAACAATAATCATTAATACAATATTTAACAATGCTCGCATGCAGTTACCAGAACATACTCAAGATTTTAAGAGATCGTGTTGTCCTATGGTGTGCGTTCGGCGTCAGTACTTCAAAGTAGATTTCAGAATACCAAATTAACTTTTATATTAGGAAAGGAGCTACTACACTAACGCACAATTTTGGCCTTAAATGTCTGAAATTTTTTCACTGTGATAGTGTAGTGAAAACTTGATTAAAACATTTCATTTGTTAAAATGTCCAATTGTTTAAATTAGAACATATTTTTACCAATTGCGTCATTAGTGACGTTATTCTGACGTCATAACGAAAGGTATTCCGTAAAAACCTGGGTTTTTTTGGCAGAATTCTACACAATTCATGACAGTTTTCTGCAAAATTAACAGTGGCGCCATCCTTTGCTCACAAATATTTTGGCTGAAATATTCTTTACATACTATATTCTTTACTTTTCAATAAAAATTTCAAAGGGCGAGGGGTGACGCCACATACAAAACCATGAAAAAAGGTGGAAAAATTGACAAATTTCTAGAAAAAAGACAAAAATTAAATCTATTCCTATTTCAGGCTAATATATCAATAAATATGAAGCAGATATACAATTTTGTTTTATACTTTTGAATATCATACATTTAGCAATGCATACCCATTAGATTTCCTTTAATAGATTTAGTTTTAAAAAAAACACCTTCACAGGGTCGTTTGTTGGGGTTCCTGGCTCTAATCCTTTTTTGGTATCTATTTGTGAATGACGATATTTTTCTTCATTTTTTTGTTTAAATTCCGAGAAAACATAAAGAAGGCCACTAATTAATCAGAGAGCTTTGGTGATGACAGAAAGGTTAAAGTAGTCACAATACTATATCACAAGCCTGTTAACACTGAGTTTGTGAGTTCAAATCCCGCACCTGGCAGGTGCGTTCGACTCCAATCTTAATTGACTAGGATTGTCAAGTTTCCTACCGAAGGTCGGTAGTTCTCTTCGGGCACTCCGGTTTCCTCCACTAATAAAAACAGACCGCCACGAAATAGCCATCGGTCCTAAAGGTGGCGTTAAAAACCAATCCATCAATCAATTAATCTAATTGGTCAGGATTTCCTCTTCGGTATCTTTTGCTTTTCAAATTGTGTTAGCTTTTTATAATTTCAATTTTGATGAGTTATGATTTTCAAATAACAATAATATTGTTTGGGGATTTGCATGCGGGAACAACAACATCATAATCGTCTCGAGTTTAGACAGTTATTTTCATTATTTGTGTCTCATTCTCTTTTGGGATACTCTCTGGCAACATTTAAGGGTTAAAAAGGGAAAAGTCACATGTTGTTCGTAAAGTAATAGCAAAATACTCTATTATAGAGTCTTATATACGAGCTACAGACAAACTAACAATATTTCCCGTTTAAGCATTCAAAGGAGTGAGTGAAAACAGTAAACAAGGTCTGCTAAACCCACCTACGTTTATTAAATCTGGTACATTTAACCGCTGAACCAACAACCTTGACTAGCAAAAAAAAACATTAGATGATTTTAATGTATTTGTATGCAGCATGGCTATGAAGGCATCTTTTTCCGGGATCGTGGGTAACGGTTTTCTTTGGTAACTATGATTATCAGAGCATTTCCACCAAGTTTCGTAATAAAATCAAAGAGAGACATAATTTTATATTCACTGTAGCTCTTAAATCCCTATCAAAACTATTTGATACGACAATAATTTGTGAAAAGTTTGATCTTTATGGAAATCTTATATTATTTATTATAACACTAAAGGTTAATATGATATGATTATATACAATATTGTACGATTTATGCCAACATCATTTACATTTTTTTCATTTAAGACTTATATTACCAAAGGTCAGAATGGTTTAATTTGCAATTTTTTTCTGTTTAAAAGATGTATATCATTTGAAAATCGGTATTTTAGTTTAATAGTCAAATTAATTCAATTATCGACTAATGTATGGATATGTGCTCTAATAATATTCAATCAAATAAAAAATGTTTTTCTGACCTGTGTTTGAAACGTAGTATACTTTATAATAGTACCGTTATAATTTTGAATTAGTAAAATAGTAATGCTAGCCACAGGAAGATTTGATATTACGTAGTTTAAAATGAATAAATTAAAATTAGAAAATGTTACTGCAAAATTGAAGTTAAATTTTCAACTTTAACAATACAGACCTCGTGTAATCTATCAACTTTTATAATGTTTTATTTTTAGCACTGAGTCATAACCGCTGATGTGGACTGCTAGGGTATCATAAGTTTCGTAGTCGGTGAATTGGCACTGGCATGATTCGTAGCATACTGTATTCTATAACTAGAATCGCGCTTTGGTTGATTCAATTCAAAAACGGAATGTACCTACTCATGAATTCAATAATAAATAAAGGCAACAGTAGTATACCGGTGTTCAAAAGTCATAAATCGATTGAGAGAAAACAAATCCGGGTTACAAACCAAAACCGAGGGAAACACATCAACTATAAGAGGAAAACGAATGAACAACAGGAACACCGAGGTGCATCAAAAACAAACGCCAACAAACATAGAAACGAACTATTTGATAACAACTGCCATATTCCTGACTTGGTACAGGACATTTTGAGAAAAAAATGGTGGGTTGAACCTGGTTTCATGGCATGCCAAACCTCCCGCAATGTTAAAAAATATCGCTAAAGCACTGCGTGATAGAAATACAGCACAAAAACACGCAAGAACATTCATAACAGAGAAACGCACAAACAAATAATATAATAGTCGACATAACATGCAAACCACAGAACAACAACAAACATATTCCATCAAAGAAAAACAACATAGGATATCAAAAA